GAGACAGATCTCAGACACAGTCTCATTCTGAGATTTCTGGAGACAGAATCGTCATTTCAAACTGAGGTTGACATAAGAGCCAGTGGCTGACGGTTGCTTTTCAGAGCTTAAGGTTAAGCCCCAGTTTTTAACTATGAATTTTTATTTAATCATGCTTCACAGGAGCTATGGCTGAAGAAGAGAATCAGCAGTTTAAGATCAAAAGTGGTGAGTTTAAGACCAGATTGGGATACACACATTGTCTAGATAAAAACAAGAAGAAGTAGATGTTTTTTTCTCACAATATTCACATTATTTATTCCTTTTTAATATATATTTGTTTTTATTTTACCAATTTTTCAACATTATTACTCAGTAAGTGAACAGATCCTTTAAATATTTTACATTTAGTGTTTGCAAAGTATTTGTGTCTTCTGTGGCAGTAAAATCAAAATGCTTCTAACAAAACTATCCATTTTAAATTTTGATCATGTCATGAAGGACGGGTGGCCTAAGCCAAGTTACTGGCATCCTTTGACAAATTTAAACACTTGTCAAACAAGCTGGCTGTAAGCTGGACAGAAGGAAGGGATTTTTAACATAAAAGGTGATCTGCAATTTTTGTTATTAATCTGCCTTTGAGCAGATGTTGAGATAACTCATTTCACTGCAAAACAGAAATTTTTGCCCCAAATGAAAGAATGTAGAACACATCACATGTCCATTACCAGCGTGGCAGAAATATATATATGTATATATATATATACACACAATTATATATATATATATTAGTGACACCAAGAAGACACAGAACATTGATATTCCATATGTTTATATATCATAAATCTGGATCTGTCCCAAGTGCTCGAGGAGTTTATGAATCACGTGTTTTGTCTTATTTGTATTTCACATGACACTAATTCAAGATAAAATAATAAAAAATAATAATAAATGAACAAAATAGAGAAAGACACTCTAATGTAAACATTAATTGACAAATTAAGAATTTTGAAGTGATGTTTATCATGGGTCAAATATAAATCATTCAAGAATTCTTAAATAAATTTGAAAATTAAAATAATTTTTAGTGAAGAAATTGTCATGCAGTGAAGGCGTTTTCATATAATATTTGTATTATTTATTACTCTTTTGGTGTTTACTTGTTTCATTTTACTATTTTTTTAAACATTATAGCTCAGATAGCTCATTCAGAAAACACCAGAGGCAAGTATCTACGTTTATTTTTTATTTATAATATGTATGAGATTCTATAGTAGTAAGTGCAACAGACATAATCGCAGTAATAACAAATATCCTTAGCATCATTGATGAGTCTTAAATCACTCAACAGTACTACTAGGTGCCATTGAAGAGAGTCTTGCAACCTGTTATAAAATTATCCTGGTTAAAGACTGCAAGATCAGAAGATCAAGGAATTTTCTGAGAGACT